AGGCTGGTTTTGAACTCCTGACCTCAGGTTATCTGCCCGCCTGGGCCTCCCAAAGTGCTGGGATTACAGGTGTGAACTACCATGCCTGACCCAAAATGTGTGATATTTAACCCTCATTCAACAGAGTGCAGTGATGCCATCTCAGCTCACTGCAACCTCCGCCTCTGGCATTCAAGCAATTCTCGTGCCTTAGCCGGCCAAGCAGCTAGGATTACAGGCATCTGCCACCACACCCAGCTAATTTTTGTATTTTTAGTAGAGACGGAGAGTTTTGCCATGTTGGCCAGGCTGGTCTTAAACTCCTAGCCTCAAGTGATCTGCCTGCCTCAGCCTCCCAAAATGCTGGGATTACAGGTGTAAGTCACCGTTCCTGGCTGAGAGTGTGTTTTCTTCAGATGTATCTGTAGGGAACAAGTCTTATCCATGAGAACACATATGTGACAAAATACAAAGCAGTAAGTGCTCAGTGCTGGATGAGTGGTTCAGTCAGTGTGGGAAGAATTTCACGGAGATATGTCTCTGAGAGCTGGAATGGTCTAAGAAGAATTCATGGAGGAAGCAGGGAGCCTGGGCAACATAGTGAGACCCTGTCTCCCCAAAAATTTAAAAAACTAGCCTGATGTGGTTGTGTGCACCTGTAGCGTCAGCTATTCGGGAGGCTGAGGTGGGAGGATCGCTTGAGCCCAGGAGGTAGAAGCTGCAGTGCGCTGTGATTGTACCACTGCATTCTAGCCTGGGCTGTTGCCAGACCAGAGACTCTGTCTCAAAAAACTAACAAAAAAAATCGAGGAAGCAGGGTACAGGGATGGGTAGGTTATAGGTTGGATTTCCCATTTCAGTGGGTTAGGATCCATCCCATTCGAGATGGATTTTGAAATTTCATGATGAGGAAGAGGAAGGAGCTTTTTAGACTGGAGTGCAGGGTGTCATGGATAAGGCTTACAGCCTGGAAAAGCTGGTCTCTCTCAGGGAAAGTGAGTAGATGGATTGCACAGGACACATTGGTGAAGCTGGGTAGGAAGGTTGGTGTTTGGATGAGGCTGCAGTTCCTGATGGGGAAAAGCAGATTTTCCTAGTGCAGAATAGGTTAGACGGTGAGGGAGGGTTATGCAGTAAGTCCAGAATGAGCTGTGCAGATGATGGGCACCAGGCTGAGCTAGACACTTTTTGGGTACATGTCAATAAGATCGGACATACTCCCTTCCCTCAGGAGAGACAAGACAGACATATAATCAACATAAACACACAGAGATCAGCATAGGGCCATAATTACAAGAGTTAAGGAGAGATTGAGGGTGGTTAGAAAGGAAACTTTTTTTTAATCTTTTTTTTTTCTTTTTTCTTTTTGTTTTGAGACGGAGTTTCGCTCTTGTTGCCCAGGCTGGAGTGCAATGGCGCGATCTTGGCTCACCGCAACCTCTGCCTCCCAGGTTCAAGCGATTCTCCTGCCTCAGCCTCACGAGTAGCTGGGATTATAGACATGCGCTACCACGCCCGGCTAATTTTGTATTTTTAGTAGAGATGGGGTTTCTCCATGTTGGTCAGGATGGTCTTGAACTCCTGACCTCAGGTGATCCGCCCACCTCGGCCTCCCAAAGTGTTGGAATTACAGGCGTTAGCCACCACACCCGGCCAGGAAGGAAACTTTCTGTATGAGAAGGAGGGGGAAGTTTTGTCCAAAGCATCTCTGACTGTTACAAACCAGAGGCCTAGGCTTGGCTGGGCCAGTTGCTAGCCTTTCCGGGGCAGAGACAGGAACAACAGTCTTCTCCTATGCCCCATCTGTCTGTGATTTCATGGCTTAGAGGGGTCACTGAGGAGGCTACTAGGTAGGGATATCTTGGCCCTTAATGTTGCTTCTTTCCTTCCAGGAGGAGAAAGAAGGCGATGCCACCAAGGATTCCCTGGATGACCTCTTCCCTAATGAGGAGGAAGAGGACCCCAGCAATGGCTGTGAGTCTGCCTCGGGAATGGGATGGTGAAAAGGGGCAGCAGGAGGCTGGCCCTAGCTGTGGCCCACCCTGTACACAGGACACTCACCATCTGGAAATAGGTTATCCACTTTTTCTGGAGACAGGGCAGGGGCTGGGCTAGTACTTCGATTTCCTCAGCCTCTCCACTGAACAAACATGTATTAAACACTGAGTATGTGCCAGGTACTATGCTAGGCACTAGGAGTACTGAGATGGAAATGGCATAGGTCTCACCAGTAAGGAGTTCACAGTCTAGTGGGAGAATAAACCTGAGATGGGGAGACCATGAGCCCCTCGAGGAAAAGAACCAGGTTTT